TGTTTAGAAGCTATAAACATTCTAAGGGAGTTCCTGGTTTCCAGGTACATTTTGAGAAAGAAGAGATGCCCCAAAGTATTAGTGTCTGAGAACAGCATAGAGGCCTTATAGATTTGGAACGTTTCCTTCCAGCAGTTCACAAAAGCTTGAACTTTGTGAAGCTCACAGTATAACACTATAATCTTTGCCAAATATTAAGCATGACTACGGTATAAATACACAGCTACACCAAATACACACAGAGGATACACCATCATAAAGCCCACAAAACATATGGCCAGGTAGACACAGCTATGAAAATATACTGGAGGCCTAATATAGATCACTATGGGCCTTGCAGCTCTGTAGAATAGTAACTGTGCTTAGGAAAACAAAGTCTTTGTTGTCCCTAAACCTTGCTCAAAAATTATGCTAATGATGACTAATCCTTGACTCAAATGAGCAATCAAACAAACTAAAGCACAGAATCCTGAACAACATGTAGTTTTAAAGCTCCAAGTAAATACACATTTCCAGAGACACAATAATCTGTATCTTGGGGAAAAAGGAAAAGGAGCAGTAACTAATGTGGATAAGGGAAAAGTATTTAATAGAAAGCTATAATTGTGTCTTTTAAATATAAAAATAGGTGTTTCCTTGTTTCAGCTTGTTAAACAAAACACAAGACCTCTTTACAGGCATTTGTCAGCTGCAGATTGTATTTGGGTCCAATTTCACTAAATCAGTATAATTAAAATTAATTAAAGTTCTATTTTTATTCCTAAGGAACTTCTGCAAGTAATGTAAATGGTATTGAAATTTCACACTTTTTCTGCAAAAGAAATGAGCTGTTAGAGAAGATAAAACTACGCAAAAAAAGATATACTCTCTCCTAGTGCTTAATAAGAATGACCAAAACCTTTTGACAGCACAGGTAATAAATTCACATAAACTCTCTCCTGACATATTCAACACTCAAAGAAGACAATCCCAACAAATTGTATTATTGCTACAGTAATGTGACAATTTGCAGCTAAAGAGAAAATGGGTTCATGTCTGTTATTCCAATAACACTTCACAGTGTTGAATAATGATGTACCTGAACATCCTTTGGACAACTAAAAATCTCTTCATTTAAGACAAGACAGCTTACAATTGTGAGACAAGGAGGCACAACTTTAATTTTTGGATTGATATGAAAAATACATCACTGTGTCATAAAGTTAAACATCAAAGCATTATTTACTGGTGCAGGCTCCCAAAGGAGAAAATATATTTCTTTTTGGCAATATATTCTCTACTTAAAGCAATACAGTTGGGAAAACTTCAATGTGTGTAGGTACAGATTTGGAATACCTCAGCATGTCAAGGGTACAAAAGCCACATATAAATGACAAAAATATGGGAGAATCCCTGGACAGTTCCAGACCTGGAATACCTTTAAAGAAAGAAACAATAAATAAAGGGCTCTGAATTTACTTGTGGCACAGAAAAAACCCAGAAAGAGAGTTTGATAGTGAGGATCCCTGTATGCTTTCACGGGATTTAGCTTCTTAAACTGTGCCCTTTGCTGCCACCACGTGGTTTTGCTGCAAGACACTTTTTAATACAGAAAAATGAAAGTTTCCTCCTTTCATTTACATTTCAAACACAACCTTTAATAAATAAGCCATGTTGCTTATCTGTTACACAGCTCAAAATCCCTGCTTAATTTCAAGAATCTAAATTACCTAAGATAATAAATAAACACCCAAGTCCCTCACTTTTTAAAAAAGTATTCAATAGCATTTTGATAACAGATATAGTCACCAGATATTCACCTCTGGCTACAAGAACAGTGACCACAGTATAGTGGATCAGTGCCCTACACTGTGAAGAACCTAAAAGGAAACATCAATAAAAAAAACCAGTGACTTTAAATTTAAAAAGAAACATCCAATCTGTCACAAAATTTTTATTCCAAATAGTCACTCTCTCACCCAGCAGACAGATGTATAATATGTATTCAAATACCAGCAACTTGCTCATTTAATTATAGAATTATTAACATTGGAAAATATCTCCATGATCATCAAATCCAACTGTTAAATGAGAAGCAGTGTATTTAGCACTAAACCATATCCCCAAGAGCCAAATATCTTTTGAACACTTCCAGAGACTGTGATTCCACCACCTCCATGGACAGTTCAAACACTCAACAACCTTTTCTGTGAAGTACTTTTTCCTAATATCCAGTACAGACCACCCTAGCACAGTTTGAGGCCGTTCCCTCTCATTCTGTCAATAGCTGCCTGGGAGAAGAGATGGACCCCACCTTGCTACAGCTTCCTTTCAGGTCATTGTAGATGGTGACAGGGTCTCCCCTAAGTGCCCTTTATTCCCCAGCACCCTCGGCCACTTCTCTTATGACTCATTCCCTAGACCCTTCACCAGCCTCATTGCCCTTCTCTGGCCATGCTCCAGCACCTCAATGTCTCTCTTGTAGTGAGGGGCCCAGAACTGAACACAATAATCAGCTTGTGCTCTTCCCTGCAAACTACAACCCCTGCTGCTACATATTTTAAGGGATATATTCACACTTTTTTAGGTTTCCTGCACTAAGACACATGTGAAATGTCTTTTAAAAATACTTTTAAAAAAACCCCAAATTTTGGCATCTGTAAAATACAATTTTTTTAGATGTGGTTATATGACAGAGCTTTCAATCACAGGTTTCTCAAGACCTCAAAAGGGCTTTTGCTATAATCATCCTTGCTGGCATAATGCAGGATGTATGACTTTCCTACTTCTGTGCCAGAAAGGGATTTTCATTGATGAGATCAAACAACTGACATAAAGAAACTTGTCAGAATCCCTCTGGTGCCAGCATCCAGGGAAAGGTGATCCAGAGATATTGCAAGGAGGAAACAAAACAAAAAAAAAAGCAGAAAAAAAAAAATGCACGTAGTCTTGTAGACAGGAAGGCTTTCATAGCCCTTGTATTGAGAGATGTATAATCTGGGATGCCTGTGTTTCCTAGGAGGCCACAGGCTCAAAGGTCAGTTTCCCTCCACAAACACCATAACCTTCATGCAGGCAAACACTGGCCTTCATCCTGGAAACCAGACTCTCTGCTGACAGTCATTTCAGTAGGGCACTGCGGTAAAAGATATAGACAGAGCTGTTCTTTTGCACAGAAGTCCAAACCATGAAGCAAATTCTTTTGTAAGGATTACTTTTACTCAGGAAAAAATACTGCACTCCTTGAAACACTTCATTAAGGCCAGATGGAGCAGTTGGCTTTGAAGATGTTGTAGAAACCCTCTTTTCAAAAGTACTACACATTGTTCTACTCTGACTTTGAGAGGATTGATCCAAGAGCTGTGTTTTACTGATGATTTAAGTTCTGCTGTTTAAGGCTGAAATGGCTTGTTCCATATCCTTTCTTGCTGGAATGGAGAGCCAACGTGCCTGTAATGAGCCCTCAACCTACTTTGAAAAAAGCCATGCAAGTCCATGAGCACATTATGGTGAACCTCCCAAAAGAATCACAACTAACCTGGGGCATAAACTCCAGGAAAGGAGGTGCTTCATCCCACAGAAGCAAGAGGGCACATGGTCTGACACAGCTATTTTAGTACTAGGCTGTGTCTATTTCCATGGATGTGGATGCTGATGGCCACACAATCTCTTCAGTGCAGCTAATGGAAGCTTGTAACAGATACAGGAAGCAGAAATGTGGACAAGGACAAATGAAATCTGATTTCCAGACATGAGTCAGGCTTTCAAAAACACTTTGTCTAACAGCTAGCTGGTTTTAGTTTATGGAACATTAGAAATACCAAACACAATACCAATAACAGTATGACTACATAAATAGGAAAGCCAGAAACCTGCAATGCTCCCTGCTTCCTCATCCTAATTATCTCACCTGTTATTGAGCACCTATTCATATTTACCACGTCATTACAGTGATAGTTTCATAAAACAGTCAATGAGTCTGCTGCTTTACCTGCCTGGCTCAAATCAATACATTAAGTCTTCATGTCGCAATGGCACGATTATCCCAGCTGGTCTGTGCTTATATTCACTCAGTGACAGGCAGTCTGCCTCCTACTCACCTTTTGCTTTATGTCACATTGTTTACAGGACTTTGAACAATGCACGTTTTTGTTGACATGCTTAAGATCTGTAACACACCACACTCCAGCCCATTAACTCATCATCAGTCTGTTGGTATGGCTCTGATATTCTGCTAGGAACAAGGAATTTAATTATTTGCATTGTTCTTCAACCCATAAATACTTTGGATTTCTTATTCCTTGCTGGGAAGTCTTCAGATGCTATCTTGCCTTTCACAAACAACACTGCTGTGGGTTTTTTATCTGATAAACTCATTTTGTACATATTAGTGTACAAAATAACTAATGACTAATAATATAGGTTTTCTAAGGAAAATCGACACATGAAAATGGTGCTAATTTTGAGATAATAGGAGAAAGCAGTTCTTAAAGACAGAAAATTAATATAAAGAGGTCCATTTAAAAAAAATCTATATATAATAGATGGCTGTTCATCCCTCAGCCAAACACAGTTTTGCTTTGTCAGAGCACCTTATGGAAAAAAAAATTAAGAATATTCTGAACAAACTGGATCAGCAAATATTTTTGTACGTAACCAAAACAGAACTATATTGCCCATTTAATCTCCATGAGCTTCCTAAAATTTAGAGGTTTCAATTACTTTTAACTCTGAACTTTCTCCCTTGGCACAATAGTAATGCTTAATCTTGTAAATCACTCAGCCCTAACTTCAAATCAAATTTGTTTAGCTATAATTTTAAATTAAAAAAAAAAAAATCTAATGCTCATTAGTACCATGATTTAACAGTTGCTAACATTAGTCTAGGACTCCATACTTTTATCCTCTTGGCTAATTAACCAATTAAATTACTATTCTACCTAAATTCAGAAAGCAGAGGAAAAAAAAAACTTACAGTATATTCTAGAGCAAAAGAGACAAAAATTAACTCTGGAACCTACCTCATATTCCCCGCCATAATGAGGAACAGGTTATAAATATGAGAAAATATGAAGAGGAAGAGGATGGTACTGAAGAACATTGTCATCCAAGACCCATGGTCCTCTCGAAACATTTTCAGACGGAGCAACTGACCTATGGTACAAAAAATATGAGATGTATTTTAGTCAGTCAGTAAATACATGTTTACATCATATTAAAACCAAAATAAAGTACTGAACTGTATTTCTTCCTATATCAAATTATTCCACTGTGTGTGAGGAGGACAGACTTAGCATCATGCAGACAAACTTCTGTAGTAAAGTATAAACAGATATTATTGCTACAAAATTACAAATACTTGCAATCCAAAG